CCTTGGTTATACAGAGTCTTTGTATGGTGACTTTCTTAGATGTTGGTTGTAGTAGTGGTGTAGGGATGAGTGACTGGGTTCATTGCCTCCTACAAGTCCAGTATGGCTGAGGTCTCAGGAAGCTTATCTCATTCTCCAGTGCTACACATTTCTGTCAGCAGATTTTCTATTAGATTGTGTCATTTATTTTTGAAGCCAGTGGGTGATGCTTATGGATAAGAACCAGCTAAGGCTGATGCAGATGGGGCATATACTTGATCTTTGTTTATGGTGAGATGCTTTCTGCTGCCTCAGGCAATGGGCTATGTTGTGGAATGCACAGTGGTGTGAGCTCCCTGTACAGTCCTGGACTGAGGGACCAAGCTGGCGGGGGCCAGAGAATGCAGACATGCCTACATGTCCACCAGTGGTAGGCTCAAGCACTAGCTCTGAGGGCAGATAAAGAGGCAGCTGCAAACATCCAGAGATGTGCTTGGGTATGGAGGGGATAATCCTCTGCTGCCCAGTGTTCTATGCCTGAAAAGGGAGGGGTAAGCGCTACCCTCCCAATCTAGAAAAGTGAGTACTCCACATGCCTGAAGATATGTCCAGGCATGGAGCACAGTGGGTACTGCTGTATCAAGACCTATGCACCTGAAGGGAGGGGTGGCTGAGGCTCCTAATCCAGGTGAGAAGGTTCTCCAAATGCCTGGGAATATGCACAGCATGGAGTGGAGAGGGTGCTGCTGCACCAAGATGTCTGCATGAGAAGGGAGGGGCAGCTCAGGTTCCTATTCCAGGTAAGTGGGTACTCAACATGCCTGGAAATATCCCTGAGCATGACAGAGAGGGCACTGCTGTACCAAGATTTCTGCACAGGACAAGAGAAGTGATTCAGGGTTCCAGTGCAGTACAGCAGGTGTGCTGAATGCTTGGAACTATGCCTTGGAGTGGAGTAGAAAAGTACAGACGCACCGAGATCTCCGCATTAGAAGGGAAAGGCAACAGGTGAGGGAGTGCACTGAATTCTTGAAATTATGCCTGGTTGTGGAGTGAAGAGGGTGCTTCTGCACCAAGATGTCTGCACAAGAATGGAGTGGTGACCCAGGATCTTAATCTAGGTGAGCAGATGGGCCAAGTGCCTGGAAATATGTCCCTCAGTGAGGAACAAAATATTTGCAGCAGAGTGGAGAAATGGCTGTTGCAAGAAGGTCTTTCAACAAGTGTTGAATGCTGGGAAATATGCCCAGGCTTGGACCTGGGGGCGGGGGTTGTTGCTTTGCCAAGTTATTTGCAAGATAAGGGAGCTGTGGCCCACACTCCCAATTCAGACCAGCAGCTCAAAACTGGTGGGACACACCTCCCAACTGACAAAGGAGGCAGGCTGGGACACCCAGAAATGACACCCACAGGCAAGTCCAAGTCTGCAAAGCTATTCCTGGTCATAGTTCCTATCACTCAGGAAAAATTGTGGCTTCAGCAACTCTCTTCGGTATGGATTTCTATTTTTATTTCGTTTTGTCTTCTTGGTATTGATTTCTATTTTTATTCCACTGTGGTCTGAGAGTACAGTTAGTATGGTTTTATTTTTTTTAAATTTATTGAGACCTGCTTAATGGCAGAGCATGTAGTCTGTCTTAGAGGATGCTCTGTGGGCCCATGAGAAGAATGTATGTTCTGTGGTTGATGAGTGGAGTATTCTGTAGATGTCTATTAGGTCCAACTGGTCAAGTGTCAAATTTAAATCCAGAATTTCTTTGTTAGTTTTCTACCTTGATGATCTATCTAATACTGCCAGTGGGACGTTGACGTACCCCATTATTAATCTGTGGCTAATTATTATTGAAGGCCTGGGCATAGTTGTTTATGAATCTGGGAGCTGCAATGTTGGGTGCCTATATGTTTAAGAATAATTAAGTCTTCTTATTTAATTGAACCCTTTGTCATCACGTAATGCCCTTCTTTGTCCTCTTTAAATTGCTGTTTTGCGTTTAAAGTCTGTTTCATCTGATGTAAAAATAGCAACCCTCTCCCTTTTTTGTTTTCTATTTGCGTGATAGATCTGCCTACAATCCTTTATGTTGAGACCATGGGTGTCCTTACGTGTGAAATGGATCTTTTGAAGACAGTAGATGGATGGGTCTGGGTTTTTAAATACAACTTGTAATCTGTGTCTTTTAAGTGGGGTATTTAGGCTGTTTATAGTCAAGGTTAATTTTTGTTTGTTTGTTTGTTTGAGACAGAGTGTCGCTCTATCACCCAGGATGGAGTGCAGTGGCATGATCTCAGCTCAATGCAACGTCTGCCTCCTGGGTTTAAGTGTTTCTTCTGCCTCAGCCTCCCGAGTAGCTGGTATTACAGGTGCACAGCACCATGCCCAGCTAAATTTTTATATTTTTAATTGAGATGGTGTTTCACCACGCTGACCAGACTGGTCTCGAACTCCTGACCTCATGATCCATCTGCCTTGGCCTCCCAAAGTGCTGGGATTACAGGCTTGAGCCACTGTGCCTTATTCAAGGTTAATATTTGTATGTGAGTTTTTGATCCTATCATGAAGTTGGCAGCTAGTTTCTTTGTAGTATGTATTGTGTGGTTGCTATATAGCATCTCTGAGCTATGTTTAACTGTATTTTTGTAACAGTAGGTATTGTTCTCTTATTTCCATGTTTAGAACTCCCTTAAGCATCTCTTAAGACTGGTCTAGTGGTAACAAATTTTCTCCGTAACTGCTTGTCTGGAAAATTTTTTTTTCTTTGCTTATGAAGCTTAGTTTGATGGGATAGGGCATACTTGGTTGGAATCTATTGTCTTTAAGAATGCTGAAAATAGGTTATCCTCATGAAAATGTACTCACTAATATGGTATGTACAATAGTGCACCATGCAGTTTGTTTTTATTTTATGTTATTTTGTTTTTAATTTTACCCAAGTGAGACCCAAGTTGTTTTATTTTTTATGGGAATTTAATGAGATAGAATTTCTTGATTTTCCACATTTGTAGGGTGCAGACCTGTGTAGTGAAACTACCCACAGCAAGGATATATGCCTGTTAGGTGGCACAGACCCAAGACCTGATGGCCTTCATCCTCCTCTTGTCCTGATGAAATCTCACAGCTCCAGTCAACACAGACACAAAACATTGATCGACAGTAAGATGGCTTGAAGAAATGCTTCTTTCAGGACAAATTCTTTCTGTGCATTCCATGAGGTAATCAATATAGTATATAGCTACACATTTGCACCATTTTGAAGCCCACTACAACAGCCAGAGTTTTAAAATGCTGCATTTAGTGAGCATTGTTAATAGAGTCTTTAAGATCATCAATGTTAAGTCAAGAAAATTTAGAAAGTACTAAAATCTTAGCACTCACATGAAAGAAAACTGGAAGCTTTTCCAAATTAGACAACAATCAGACAAATTTGCTTAATATTACCAATCTGAGTTTTGAAGCAGAAAGAAAATGTTATAAACCATGATTTTCACAAGTAGGATTGATTGTAATATTTCATAATTTTGGATAATTTTGGATGATTTATCAGAATTTTAAAGTGATCAAACTTAGTGGAAAGACTGGTTTATGCTTCTGCTATATTTACAGAAAATTCTATTATAAAATCAATGTCATTTGATGAAGCAAATAGTGACTCAATAGTTGAGTATGAAAACATAGAATTAACTTTTTACACTGTTGTGTCAAGTAGTTAATTAATAAAAATGTTAGGTTAGCAAGTAAAAAGAACACAAATTAAGGAAGGGCAAATCTGCCCTTCCATCTGCAGGGTGGATGGATGGACTGACGGGTCAAAGCCAGTGACATCACGAGCAGGAAACCATGCTTCTCTCAAGCTGCAGGTTTGAAATGTCAAACAGCCTCTTCCTTGGCTGATGGCTGCTTTCTGACTCAATGGAAGACCTTGTTCTCTAGCGTCAGGGCTGTCAGAATCTTTGCTTATGACTGAGAAGAACATCCCACTGCCTGGAGGATCTGGGTCCATCTTTACACAGAAGCACAGAGCTGCAGAGAAGGGGTTTCTGGACGGAACGTTCCACACCTGGCTGGACTTTGTGGGTTCTAAGGACACAGGACCTAGGTCCACTTTGCAGACCAGACTTGACACTGGCTGCTTTACACGAAGGCCTGCCATGCTCTGAGTCCATCACTACAGCCTCAAAAATCCCTCCCCACAGTCTTATAATAAGCTCTTTCCATTGTTTTTTGAGTCATCACAGGTTTCTTGATGTGAATTTATTCCCTTTTTGCTACAAGCCAATAATCCTGAGTCTGTTGACTGCAAAATCTGTTTTGGTGACTGATCGCACTAGGATGTATATTATTTTTCTGGAATTTGGGATGATTGTAGTATTTATCAGGACTTTAAAATGAATAATTTGTTGTGACTTATTTCCTCTTCTTAAATAAACACTAACTTTTGTGCTTAGTTTCTAATTGGCTATATTATGCCATTTTTCATGCAGATAACCCTCTGTATTATGGAAGCCTTAGACCTCACGGAACCTGGGTTGCCTGTGGTCACAGTGCTGAGAATCCACCTGCCCAAGGAATGACTGCACTGGTTCCTGCTTCCCAGGCCTCCAATGGACTTATCCCTCCTTCCAGAGTGATTTGTCTATGCTGAAGGCGGAGTTTCTAACCTCAGTGGTTTTAGTCTTTTAGCAAGAATTTGTGACATTATTTTTGCTAAAGGATCTCTTAGAAGGGGTGCAATATTTCCAAAACATGACCCTCAGGAGCCTCCTTTACTCCAAAAACCCAGGAGTTTCCGGAAAGGGCCCAGACCCTCAGCTTGTTCCAGAAGACAAAGACCCACATGCTCACCTTCAAGCCTCCCTGCCCCCTGCTCCCCTCCTGGGGAACAGACACACAGGGAGATGGTGGAGGGAGCCTTCTACAGAGCCCGACTTCCCCCTCCACTTCCCCAGGAAGAGAGATGTCAGAAAAGTTACGGGTTTACACGAAATCACCTGTTCCTTGTGTCCTTGGATGGTGGTTGCTTATGTCAAGACAGACCCTTCACCAGGAAGAGAACCATGAGGATCTCCATGCAGGGAAGACTTCGCCCCTGACCACCATTCCTGGGCACCCGCTGCTCTGCTGTCAGCCCCTCTCTTCCAACAGAAGCCTGAATCAGTGTGTGTGCACCCCCCACCCCCGACACCGGGTGAGGCCCAGACTCAAATCTCCCCAGCTCACGACCTCCTGGGCGCTGCTGCACCTTCTTCAACCCAAAACCTTGGTTAACTCCTGTGGGGGTGGAGAGGAAATGAAGCAGATGCTCCCCACTCTCCCTGCCAGACCATCCTCCTCCTGGCTTTCTATGTGCGGCACATGGGGTGCGGGCCTCAGGACTATTTGGGCAGTTTCCCCTTTGTCATTTCTCCCTCAGTGTTCATGGCAGCCACCCTTGGTCAACGCAGCTCTAGGCACGGAAGACAGTTGAGAGCCCTTCCCCAGAGGCACCTGCCCTGAGGGCTGCACCCCTCTGCCCAGAAATAGCAAAGGGAAGGGCCATGCAGGGTGGGCTAGGTCTTAGGACTATAGCCTCTTCTTTGGAGCGCAACTAACCACTTTTCTGAAGAATGGTTTTGACACTAAGGTGATGTTATTTATTAATTAAAACATCCTTTTTGAAAAAAAACGGTGTCCACTGCATGTCACTTCCATTCGTGTTTTAACTTCTCCATCCCTACGAAGAAGGTTGACCTGAGTACTTGTTTTAAATCCAAGTCCAGAGAAAGGGCGGCTGGATGTGAACATGTAAAACTCTTCTAGGGCACAGCTTCCTAGCCTAGGACACAACCTCCCAGCCTGGGGCACACCCTCCCAGGATGGATGACAGCAGGTACTGCTTTCTCTGGGTGATATGCCCGTCTTTCATCTGGTTGGCATTTTTCCCCATCAATTATACACACACACACACACACACACACACACTTTTGGGCTTTGTTTCCATGTAGGGGTCTAAAGTCTCTTGTGGAAAGAACCACACGTCCATTGCTATCTAGTTAGTGTCTAGGGGATTTGATGAGAGCAGCTCAGTCCCTGGAGTCTGCTCAACTCTGCAAGCACAGATGGAATCTATGGCCTGGTGAGCTCCATTGAGGCCTGGCCCCTGCCTGTGGACACAGCCAGCCCCTCCTCCTGCTCCGACCAGGAGCTCAGACCACAGCAGCAGCCCAGCTTCCTGGGCCAGCTGCCTGGGCCCTTTCCTCTCCCTGGCGCCCTCACCAGGGGCTGCTGCAGCTGCAGCCCTGGGTTCCCAGCCCCTGGCTGCTCTCTTCCTGTTCTGAAGCTCAGGTCTCCGAAAGTGGCAGCAGCTCCCATGACAGCCTTGCTGTGGCTGCGTCAGCTCCCAGGTACTCCTCTGATCTCCACACCAGCAGAACAAGGAGGCTTCATAAAGGAACTGCAGAAACCCTGTCTGTGTACACATCCCCCAGACAGTCAAGAACTCAGAGGGAGCCGATGCTACTGTTTTATTGCAGGAGGTGGGATTGTGTGTAGCATGTACCAGGGCTACCAGAAGCAAGAAGGAAGGAGGGAGGGCGGAGCCCCCTGCTGAGCAACAAAGGCCTCCTGCTCCCTTCTATGTCTGTCTCCTGGCGCAGGCGCATGGGGAGACCGCCCCCAGGGTGGAGGCCACTGCTGAGCAACAAAGGCCTCCTGCTCCCTTCTCTGTCTGTCTCCTGGCGCAGGCGCATGGGGAGACCGCCCCCAGGGTGGAGGCCACCAGTCTAGGGGTGGGAGCACTACAGGGGGTGGGAGTAGAAGGCGGTTGGTGTGACTGACCCGGCACAGATCCCTAGGCTTCTTGACACCTGGAATTCACCAGGGACATTCTGTCCTCCCAGGGAACTTCATAGATCTGGAAAGAGCACAGCTGTTTCTGTGAAAGGGAAGAGAGGGGACCAATCAGTGTGAGTTACAGTTAAAGGGGAAGACGCTCAGGCATGAGATGTCAGAGCCTGAGTGAGGAGGATGGAGGTGAGACACTGGGCCCACATCCACCCCTGCTGAGTCCCAGAGTACCGAACTAGAATGAATAGTGAGTGTTCCATTGCCCCTCCCAAGGCTCCAAGTCACCAGGTGGCATTGGGCCCTCACCCCAGCCTGCAGGGTTTCTGTCCCAGCACAGCCCCGTGAGGAGCAGCCCGTGCAAGGCCTCCGGAGCCCCAAGGGTGCAGGGCAGGGGGTGGCGACTCGCTTCCCCCAGTTCCTTCCGCCTCCAGCATCCAGGCCAGCACTAAGAGGGGCCAGAGGGAAGAGCCCAGGGCAGGGCAACTCCCCCTCAAAGATCTGAGGCTGGGGCAAGGGTGACAAGGGGAGTGCGGCTCTCCCCTGAGTGGAGACTTCACAAGAACCAGCAGGTCCTTGGAGAGGCTGGTGTTGGGTGAGCGGGGCAGGTCCAGGGCTACGCAGCTAACAGGCCTCTAGGTCCCACTAATCTGCTTAGTGTGGCTGTGGCTGCGGGCAAGTGCCTGAGGCTGGGATTAGATAGAGCCCCTTCTCCCTGTCCAGCACCCAGCCCAGCAGCTGCTTCTTCCTGTCCAACAGGCAACACCCCAAAGAAGGCAGAGTTGACCTCTCAGTAACCATGCCCAAGCTAAAGCCTTCCCAGCAAATCAAATACATCACCCCCCTCCCTCACCACCCCATCTGCACACACATAGGCAACTATGTAAACTCACTTGGACCCCTCATCCTCATGGATCTATGTACAAACCCCCATACTGCTCCCACGCATCCACACAGGGTCACACATCTCCCTTACACCTCCCTGCACACACTGGCACATGTGTGTACACACGTGCACCTTTCCTCATGCACACCTGCATGCACACACCCCCCACAAGTACATGAACATGTATACATCCATGCATACATGGCTCCCCACATGCCCATCTGTACATACACACACCCTCCAAACATGGGTAGGGCAGAGGCTGACACATACACACTCCTCTGCAGTGCAT